CATCGCCCGGGGCGGGCAGGGGTGCGTTACCTGCTGCGGACCTGCTCCTGCAGCCTCTGGTGCAGCTGCTGCGGGATGTGGGTCCGGCTGGAGGGAGGAGCGCCGGGACACGGCACCGTGTGCCCCCAGCCTCGGGCATCCTCCCCGTCTGCGGGGAGAGTCAGCAGCTCAGCCGGACCCTCCCCGCTCCCCGCCCGGCACAGCCCCCGGCCCCTCCCCGGCTCACCCGAGTCCTCGGCCGGCCTCGGCCGGTGCACGGGGTGCAGCAGCGAGGTCACCAGCCCGTTGTTGGGGTGCTGGTAGGCACCGATCAGCTCGGGGAGGCTGAGGAAACACTTGGTTTGGATGCCCTGGATGGTCTGGGGAGGCAGAGCAGCGGAAGCACCATCACATCCCCTCCTCTGCCAGGGCAGCCCCAGCCTGCTGTGTCCAGTGAGACTGTCCCTCAAAATGTGCCCGTGGTGAGTTGGAAGGGCCAGCTGGACACCAAACCCATGGGGTGGGGAGCGTGGAGGAGCATGGAGAGACATCAGCCTCCTTCAGCAGACAGGGATTCTCCCTGTGGACACCCAGGATGATCTTTTTAGGGGGCAGAAAGGGCAGCTGCAGAGAGCTGGGTACCGGGAGAAACCCTGAGGGGACATGGAAGTGAGGGCAGGACAGACCTCGTGGGGACCATGGGGCTGGCTCTGTGTGGCCAGGCTGTGACAGGGTGCGGTGGCAGGAGGGGACAGTGTCAGGATGCAGTGGTGCTGAGGGAGGGCCCCGAGCTGGAGGGGCTGCAGGGCGCCTACATCCTGCAGCTCATGCAGAGAACAAACCGCAGGCTGATGCCACCTCACCGGGGAGGGGGATGAGCACCCCGGGCCCTGCACAGCTGCATCCTGCCCACGCCCAGCCCCGAGGCACCGCCCAGGGCAGGGGGTGCACCCCCTGCACCCACCTGCACGGAGAGCAGCCCCTCATCATCGGGGAGGATGCGGTAGGTGTAGACGTGTCTCTGGAACCTGGAGACAGCAGGTGAGGGGCCCCGTTCCGCTGCCCAGGACACCGTGGCAGCGCTGGGGGCCCAGCCCTGAGACAAACACCCCACGTCCTCTGCAGAGAGAGGAACTGAGGGAGCATTTCTAGAAATAAATCATCACCCTCAGCTCGGGGTCTGTGGGAGGATGTGCAGTGTGCCCCTGCTTTCAAACAGCATGGGGCAGCCATGACTCCACCAGCTCTCACTGGGGTACCCACAGCACCGTGGATTTTGGTCAGACAGAGCCTTTGCCATGCTGCCTGTGGGGCCACTGCACATCCCTGCCCGTGCCACCATCCTGTGCCTGGATTCTGGCTCATGCTCCGCACCCCCAGAGCCCAAATTTGTGATTTGTCCCACACAAAGGGCCAGGCCAGTGAAGGAAAGGGGGTGCATCCTGCCAAATCTGCCCACACAGATGTGTGACAAGCAGGCAGGAAGGGTGCAGAGCAGCAGGAAGGGTGCAGAGCAGGAAGGGTGCAGAGCAGGAAAGGTGCAGGCAGCAGGAAGGGTGCAGAGCAGCAGGAAGGGTGCAGGCAGCCGTGCTCTCAGGGTCTGCACACCTGGTTCCAGGTGTGGGCATGGCAAGAGGCCCCATGCTGGGGACCGTAGCCCCAAAGCCCCAGCACAGGAGATGTGCAAAGCCCAGCAGGCAGCCCAAAACAGCTCAGTGGGCCCTGGATTTGGGGTTATCCATTCAGCAGCCATGGTGATGGGCAGAGCTGTGGGCCCAGCCTTTATCCTGCTCCCAAGGACCCCCCTCCACTTCCCTGATCAGGGGGATCACTCCAAATCCCGGCGCCAGGGAGCTGCCACCCCGCTCACCCCGCTCGCATCCCTGCAGAAGGCTCTTCCATGAGGTTTTGGCAGTGCCTGGAGCAGGGAGAGGCACAGAGCGGGGCAGGCAAGGGGCAGGAGACAGGAGCAGGGGAGAGGCAGAGGCAGGGCAGGGACTCACAGGAGGCACAGGGCAAACGCCCCCTTCACGGACTCGCTGTCCCGCACCAGGAAGGAGCCGTCCCGCCCAGCCTTGGCCAGCAGCTCCTCGGCCACCACCTGGCTGATGTCGCGGTGGTACCACCCTGCTGCCGCCATCCTGCCGAGCCGTGTCCCCGTCCCGGCGGCACATCCAGCTCAGCAGGGGCTGTGGCGCTCACGGGGGCTGCTGGGGCGGGGGAAGGAGGGAGTGGCGTGGGGACACCGGGCCCCCGGTACCCGAGCGTGGTGCTGGCTGCAGGTCCCGGCGGGTGACAGGGAGCCACCGAGGTGAT